GTTCGTTTAAGGTGATGAAGGACTGGTAGATGAATTTTCCCAGAAAAACATGAGTAGACCTTACATTTTGATTGAATTGCACATAGTCTTACTTTCAAAAAATATATTCCCATCCAAGCAGAGGTGGACTGCAGTTTCGATCTCTCCTAGGTTTTATCAACACCCCTAGCGGGAGTCGAACCATGACAGTGCGGCGTGTAAACTCGACACGTTAACAGCTCCGCCAAATTGCTACAAGTGCCCTTAGGTCACAGGGCAGATGTGAATTTCAAGAAAGGACAGGCCTTTTGCTACATCACATTCTTTGGTGGGATTGTCGATAAAGCAAACGTATTTTTGCTATAGGAATCGACCATCAAACTTATTCTTCTTAAATAGGTAGATTCTTGTGACTACCAGTCCTTCTTCACTTTAAACGGAATAGGGTGAATACATCTTATATAACTGATTTACTGGTAGCCTCGAAACGCTACTTATAAACAAAAAATAAGTAATGTAGTCGATTGTTATAGCAAAAATGTGTTTGCTTCATCGACAATCCCACCAAAGAATGTGATATGGCAAAAGGCCTGGCTTATCTTGGAATTCACATCTGCCCTGTGATCCAATGGCACTCGTGGCAATGTGGCCTAGTGATTAACGTAACCAACTCACACGGTTCAACTCCCTCTGGGGGTGCTGATAAGACCGATTCGAGGTCGAAACTGCTGTCCATCCTGAATGAGGGCAACTTTTGGGAAGCAATGCTATGTTAAACTCATTCTACCACCAGTCCTTCATCGCCTTAAACGAACTAGGGTGAATACATCTCATATTACTGATTTACTGGTAGTCTCGAAACTATACTTATCTACAAATAAGGCATTTAATAGCATATGAGGCTGACTAGTAGTTTTGGTAAAATTCAACTCTCCGTTCTTCTTCCTACAAGACTTTGGACAACTGTATCCCTTATACTTGGGTAGACCAAGGTCTCGAGCTCATTATCTGGCATCCCACCCTTCCCACTCAATAAAGGACTCCAAGTAACCGGGACGGGATATGGGCAACGAAAGCTGGGTCGCTAGGAACTGGGCCACTGGTACGTGTCTGAGGGCAAGCAAATGGGCCATTCGCCCACCCGTCCGTTCGGCTGGTTCGGTCAGACAATATCCCCGTTGCAGCAAGGCCAGCCCATTGGTATCTGCGCAGCTCTTCGTCGCCAGGTCCAATTTGCACTGTCGGCCAGTTTCAGTAAATCCTGTTCCTCGGTTGCTGACTGCTGGTTGACCGACCTCAGTTGTCCATCGTTGCTAGAGTCTTGGAGTCCGCCGAAGACAGCCGGACAGGGATAATCGCATTTGTCTTGCCATACACACGTCGATGTTGACATCGTAAGCGGCTTCCACGTCAGATGACTTGAGAGCCAACCCGCCCAAATGAGGGCAAAGTTAACTTCGCCCGAGATACGGTCACCAAAATAGTTCCAAATAAAACCTATGTACCGAGTTACGAGATGATAGGAGAAAGGTTTGATGGCAAATGGCTCTTCTCAGTTGTCAAGACAACATTGCGTAAAATGCTTTGGCTGAAATCTATCCGCGAAGTGGACCAAGAATCTGATTTTTGAATATTTCATTGATAAATTCAGGTTGGCGTAAAACTCATTCACTTTAACGAGGCAGGCGGCCTAATCTAAAATCAAAGAAGGGTCACTTTGGAGTTGTTACTACTGCATCGTATGAGGATATCATCAATTCAAACTGGCATTTGATCCTGCATTGCTGAATTGTGTGTAGTTGTATGGTTGCCTGTGCATTGTGTGTATGCCGTGTTCATGAGACATGGCATGTTAA